CGAGCATTTTATAAATATCAGAAAAAGCTCCACGATTTTCCACATCGATTTTCTATAAACTAGAAATTAATTCCAAATTACAGTGTAGTGTTGAACCAATAAAAATGAACAACAGATTTTGGAAACTCGTAAAGACGAAAATCAATTAAAGATTTTAAAAGAAGAAAATGATGAGGACAAATCAATTAAGATCAATTATGAGATTAGTGAAATTCGACAAAAGCTTGATTATTGTGCAAGAATAGCTGAAATTAGTAATCAATGTAATTTTGATGATTTAATTGTTCCATTAGGAGAAAAGATTGAATTAGTTAATGAAGAATATTCTTTTTCACATGAAACAATTGATAAAGTTTTAGAAATATGAAAACTAACAGAAAATAATCAAGTGGCTTTGGCTGTTGCTAAATTATTGAATTTTAACAAAACATTCTTGTTTGATAGTGAACAGAAAATGGAAGAAACGGAACGAGTATTACATAATGTTTTATCGCGAATTTCAAAGGAGAAAGCAAAAATTATTCTACTGTTATGTAGAAAATTGAAAGTTATAAATTATCCAAGTTTGCTGAAATTTCTGCATAAGACATTGATCGAGAATGAAAATCAGATTGAAAGAAATGAAACATTTAAAATTTTACAATCGTTGAAATTCGATTCAAATAATGTTAAATATATTGATGAAACAATTAAACTGGAAAAAAAATGTTTAACAAACGATCAAAGTGTAATTAAAGATTGTTTAGAACATGTAAAAATGAAAAATAAACTCACATTGAATTGTTTTAAAGAGTTAATAATATATTTTTCTATGAATGAAACAAGCGAAATAATAAGAGAAATTGTTGAACAAGATATACAAAAATTACCAAAATGTTTTACTGAAAAATTTCATGAATATGTAAAATCATCATCATCGTCAAATAAAAACAATCAAACGAATATAATTCGTATTAGTAAATCGTTAATTAAGGGTAAATATATGACTTTTGACGACATTCATAATATTGAAGAATTAATTTCCAATTACAAAAGTATTGATAATGATATTTTCGATTTATTACTTTTTGACGTTTTTTATTTACGTTATGTTTTTTTACGTTGAATATGAAAATGGACATGAAATTTCAACAAATATTATTGATAAAGTTAAAAATGCTGGAAAAACAAATGAATATGCACGAGAATTGCCAATGTTGCTGAACAAAAGTTCATGAATAAACAATTCTTTGAAGAATTAAAATTGTTAGATGAATTTATTTATAGCCAACAAAACAATTTAGAAAAATTTCATGTATTATGTGCACTTAATAACACATTTTTAAATCGTGAAATAATTGATAGAAATATTGGGGGAAAAAGGTTCAAAATCCTGTTCGTAC